GGCGGGTGGGGCTGCGCGTCTGCCGGGTTGCGGGGGTGGTGCGGTTGAGACGAGACTACCCCAGCATGTACTCGGGGTGGGCTGCGGCAGGGGGAGGTGGCTGCAGAGCGTGGGGGGAGTTTAACGATTACCCTTGGTCCCGCTTAATGATTAAAAGCGGCAGGGATGAGCGTGTTGGGGTGAGAGGGCGGTTGGCGGGCAGGGGCAGGTGTGATGTCCGCCTCCGTGAGCCCACGCGTGCCCGGGTGAGGAGGGTGAGCGCGCCCCGCGCTCTCCAGTCTGTCCCCTTTTGGGCCTGGGTGGGGAGCGGGCTGCTGCGAGCACGGGAAACCCGGCACCGGGTGCCAGGGGAGGCAGGTGTGCGAAAAGACGGACGCGGTGGCTTTCGGAGTTGCTTAAACTATCTAAGTAGGTCATAATTTAGAGGATGTGGTTAAGGCAGCGTTTGGCAGAAGCATCGGCGTTGCGGTGTATAGACACCCGTGTGGCGAGTGGCAGAGTGCCCTGAGACAGAACGTGATATCCTTCTTCTAAATTGCCAGACAGGATTTTCAGTACTTCCTCAAAGGCAATCGCCCTGTTAAAATTTTGTGTTGACCACCAACGCCTCTTTTTCAGCAGGTTTACATCATGCTCTTTGATCTTTTCTCAAGGAGAAGACGATATAGAATGAAAAAGGCAAAGCAGGATGAGGGTCGTCTTTGGTACATTGACATTCTTTGCCATTTTTGTATTTTTCTGGTTTGATTTTAATTTAAAAATACTAATCATTCTAAAAATATAATTAAACATATTAATCATTCTCAAATCTGCCGGCATGAAGAGATACAGAACGCGTAGAGTGGAGCTTGCTTTCTTATTGGTGTCTGACATTACTGCTTGGCACCTCTAGTACTGAAAATTGTTTGTGTGTCTTAAGCTGAATGTTAAATAGCACCCAGCCAGGATAAATCTCTTTAAGTCTGCAGGGCTGTATAACAGTCAGAAGGCCTAAAACAGATGGATAGGGCCCACTGACCTTGATTTTTAGGTCTTGGCACTATGCAAAAAGGGCAGGTAGGATTGCCTGCATAATTAGGGACTACAGAAGGGCCTGGAGCACAAGTCTTATGAGGAGCACCTGAGGGAACTGTTTAGCCTGGAGAAAAGGAGTCTGAGGGGATACCTTATCGCTCTCTACAACTACCTGAAAGGAGGTTGTAGTGAGGTGGGTGCTGGTCTCTTCTCCCAAGTAATAAGTGATAGAACAAGGGGAAACGGCCTCAAGTTGTGCCAGGGGACGTTTAAGTTGGATATTAGGAAAACTTTCTTCACTGGAAGGGTTGTCAAGCATTGGAACAGGCTGCCCGGAGAAGTGGTTGAGTCACCATCCCTGGAGATATTTAAAAGACGTGTAGATGTGGCCCTTAGGGACATGGTTTAGTGGTGGACTTGGCAGTGCTAAGTTAATGGTTGGACTCAAGGATCTTAAGGGTCTTTTCCAGTGTAAACGGTTCTATGATTAAAGACCAGTAAAGATCCCTGGCTCTGGCATTCCTGAACAGAATAATGAAGAAGTCAATACAATGGTTACTTTTTAAGAACTAAGGTATGAGAATTAATACATGCCAGCGAGCATGATTTTGCTATCAGATTGTGTCAAACAAACGGTTTGATTTGCTGAGCATGACAAGCTTGCTAGCTGAAAGTAACAGGGTTAGGTCTTTGTAAAGCATTGTGACTTCTCAGATGGAAGTTATTTGGCCTTACAGCAGGGATAACTGGATAAAGTTTCATGGGCTGAAGTCAGACTTATCTTCCAAGGGTCTTTTCTGGCCTCACTTCTCACTTGCATTCTTCTCCCTCTGTGGATGCAGATTGCCACAGACTGAAATTATCTCGCTAAGGTGGGCAAATACCTGAAGGGACGTAGAAAGACGGAGCCAGGCTCTTTTCAGTGGTGCCCAGTGACAGGACAAGAGGCAACAGGCACAAACTGAAGCACAGGGGGTTCCCTCCAAACATCAGGAAACACTTTTTTAATGTGAGAGTGACTGAGCACTGGCACAGAGTTGGTTGTGGGGTCTCCATCCTTGGAGATATTCAAAAGCCATCGGGACACGGTCCTGGTCTGCTGGCTCCAGATGGACCTGCTTGAGCAGGGGGTGGGACCAGTTTCCCTCCAGAGGTCCCTTCCAACCTCAACCAGTCCATGATTTTGTGGGATTATGCAAAGATGGAAGTCTCTGAAGACTCAACATCAGGCCATAATTATTGTTTGGATGTCAGGTATCTGTTGCTCTGTTGTGGATAATAGAACATTAAGCAATTCAGATTTGTGTAATCCTCTTTAATGTCTTAATATGCAACTTTTTTTATTGAAGTTCACCTTAATTGATAACAGGCTGTATGTGATACTAGTGTAGTACTGTAATGCCTCTGAAGTCCCGCAAGGTTACCAGCATTCAGTGTGCTCAGCAGAACGACAGATAGATAAGTTCTTTGAGGAAAAGACTGAATATAAGAGAGAGAGAAGATACTAGAGGCTCTTTCAGAGGACATGTTGAAGAGAAAATGAAGAGGACAGAACATAACTGAGGAAGAGGCCAGGCTTCCAAGAAAAACATAGCTTGCTGGTCTAACAGGGTGAAGATGTAGCTCTGGTTCTGAGGTTTACCTAGGAAGCAGTTTATGGAGACCATAAAAATAGTATTAAGAAGTTCATGTATGTGCTTCTTGACTTAGAATTTATCTATTCATAACATATTATTAGGTCAATTAATAAATACCCATTTCTTGCAGTATCTATGTTTTTGGTTGCCAAACCCGATACTTACGGAAACATAGTTTTCATATATTTTCCAGTCTCATTTACTTCAGTTGAAGAAGTTGAAGGAGGCGGTTAACATATGTAAAATGTAGCTGTAAGGGAAATGCCAATTCATCCTCTCTAGATACTGTAAGAGCATGAAAGAAATGTGCAGCATGCCCTAGTGCGTTTGCTTTAGTCTCTGCCATTGGAAATACCAGTATTTTGTCAGTAGGATGCAAAAATGATTTCTGAAAGCTATGTGATCAATGTCACCATCCCCTGGCTGTTTTGTTGAGGCAGTAATTCCCAGGTACCATTGAGTGTTTTGACCTGCATCAGCAGCTGGTGTGGCGCAAAACATCATCCGTTTTTGCCCACATCAAAAATAATGAGAAGAGCAAAAAAGCATGATTGGTCAAGAAAAGGATGGAGGAATTGAAATTGGTATAGAAGCCAAAAAGGAGACCTAAGTTTTAAAACATGTAGAATTTGGCTACAAAGTTGAAGGAAAAACTGTTCTTTGAGTTGGCTTTGAAGAGGTCAAAACTAGAAGTCTTAAATTGCAACAAGGGAGATGTAGATTTTAGGCGTTAGAAAGAAAAAATCTTTTTAATGCTAAAGAAAGTGAAACACTTCAACAGATTATTTTGGGATCTTGTGGAATCCCAGTTAGAAAGGTTAAAGCAAGTATTTCTTTAGGAACGTGGAAACAGTTTTTCCTAACGTGTGCAGGCAGAGGGCAATTTTGCAAGTTATGTTTTTTCCCTGATTCTAAGATGCGAGAGCAATATAAAATCCCCTTTGAACTTTAGGAGTGTTGGACAGATTGCTATTCAAATGTTGCTTACACTTTGAAAAATGTGACTGGATCAATTAACATAGTATTATCTCAAAATATCTAATATTGTCGTGGTTTTGTCTAACATTTTATTCATCTTCTGTTCTTGCTTCATCTAGAGAAATTAAAAAAAACATCCCATTGATTCCTGGGAAGCCAGCCTGGAGAAGTATATGTACCCGGCATGGCAAAAAAGGATTTTAGCAATATGCTTTTTTTACAGTTGTGGTGCAAAATAATTTTAATGTATCATTCTTTTGCATATATGCCAGCTTTATTCAGAGCCTTTACTTTCTTTTTTTTTTTCCTTAATTATCTCTGCTTCTGAACCATTGAAAGAATACTAAAAATTGTCTCTGAATACAACTACTTTGATTCTTCAGATAGCAGATAGTGTTGGAAATAAAAGCATAACTTTTGAATATTTGAGTGAAGTGAATTAAGGCGTAATTATGTGTTGCCTTCTTCACTACTATACTTATTTAGTTAATAGCAAGTAGGCTGTTGTCACATCCAAAAAAATACTGAATGCAGTAAAAAAAAATTTCCAGGCCATAGATGGTAGGTGTTAAGCCCTATGTAACTGGAGTCCTGCTATGGAAGACCTAACTGACTGACTTGCCAAGAGTAAAAAATGAACAGAAGATCAGTGCTTTCATGCCCTCTTCTACTCCTACCTCTAAAAGGTTAACAGAGTAGTCATTTTAAAGTATGATTAAAGAGGTAAGTGCATGTGCTTGAGATTCCTGTTTGTGAAACAACAGAAACTGTGCGAGACCTCAGGGCCGGGGTGAGACGGGAGGCGCCGAGCCCCAGTCACGAAGAAGCAGCAAGTCCTAGGTGACTGCTGTAGGCAGCTCTGAAGAGGCTTAAGAGGGTCCTAATGTGGGTAACTGCACTCCAGTTATTAAAAAGATGCCTTATTAGATCTTAGTTATGCATAATGTGGATTATCAAAGGCAGCTGCTTTCATGGTTGTATGGGGAAAAAAGACTTATCAAAAGGATAGGTAGATATTGTCAGAATATTGGTTTAAAATGTTGCTGTAAAGCAAGCTGTTTTGATGTTACAACCAGTTTTAAATTCTTCTGCAATTTTTGACAGGAAGAACCTTGTCATATTTTTCCACCATAGCACCAGTGAACGGTAGATGAGCTCTTCAAAGAGACTGCTAGTGAACTGAATGCAGTTTCTTTTATATATTAGTCTCGTTACTGTTTACTCTTTTTATTTGTTTTACTATTCCTCTGCTCCATTTGTTGAATGTTATTAATTTCTCAGCATTAGGAACACAGCCTAAAATAAGGTTCTTCAGACTTGGATTCAGTTGGTAAGCCTCATTGAGATAATTGTCTGGTTAGCAACAGATTAGCATTTTACAGTCCTGCCTATTATGGCAAGATTTACTGGCAGTTCTTACAAACATCCTGCAGATCCACCTCTGATCTTTCTGCAGTCTATTGGAATATTTTCTTTCTGATTCTAGACCTCTGTTTTAAATAGGAGCATCTCATTGATGTCCTTATTCCAAGACTGGGTCCTGGTTTCATGCTGCTGTTTCTTTCCAACTAAAGCTTATTCAGGCAAATCAGAGTTCTTCACAGGTATTCGTCTCCTTGGGAATCGCTGCATCAACCAAAGTTTGCAGCAGCACAGGGCAGCTTTTCAAAGCCAAGCAGCTTTATTTGTCAGCCAGAATGAGGTATTTGAGCATGTCCTTGGGTGACAGTAGAGAAGTGAAGGTCTTGCAGTTATGGTCATGGTAGGTGCATCTCTGTTTCTCTGATCCCGTAAGAGCCTCCCTCCTTCTGAACGGGGTAGCAAAGCTCTCATTACACTGTCCAGATAGTCTTGGGTTTTGTTTCAACTTGCAGTCACGTCTCTTTCACATACTTGTTTGCAAACAATTGTTAAAAACTTATGTGACAGTGTTGATGTTGCCATGTATCTTTAGAAGAATCAAAGCTCCAGTGCTTGCTCATGTTTTGACTGTTCTTAGGTGGTTACATATAGTAGCCCAGGTGCTGCACTCCCTTGTTCCCTTGTTCATATCATCCTGCAGTCATTTGATGTAAAATCAATGGATGACCTGAATCCTACACAACTTTTTATGACAGTAATACAGAGTTTCTCTATATTACATGAAACAACCACCAGTCCTTTATTGTTCATACAGTTCTTCTTTTATGGAAAGGGGTTTGTAGTACAGAATGTTTTTGTTACTTTCCTGGCCCCCCACTTTCTACTCATTAATGGCATTGTAAAGGTGTCATAATAAAAGATTGCTGCATCCTAAACATCCTAACTGGTTTTGGTTTAATAATTGCCATTCTTTGACTTCTGTGCATATGGATAGACGAATAATATATAAAATATCCTGATTTAGAGCAGTCCTTTACTAGACAGGAAAGGTGAAAAGGGAAATACTTTTTCAACTAGTAGTGGGTTACTTCAGGCTGTCTGTTTTTACTTCTAGTTACGTTATAACAATACATTATCACAGTAGAGCATCCCCATAGAACTTTTTGGAAACTCAACTGTGTTTTTTCTGTGTGTTGCTCTTCTTATTGCTGTAGAGAGATACGTGCAGATAGGAAAATAAACACAGAGAGCATTATTTAGCATGAACTTTAATTTTTAGATTTTGTGTCATCTTTCAGTTAGTAGAGTCATCTTTGTATCTGATGCCTTCTTTATTTTCTTACTTGAGGATTATGCTGCACTTGAATTTTCTTTTCCTGTGTAAAATGACAATAAAAATGGAACCTGAGTTTGTGAAGCGTTTTTCTTTAATTAGAAGATGACAATTTTCTGTAAATATCTGGCTGTTGAGGAGACTATGACTCACATTGCTTTACAGGGGATTTTGAGTCACTGATGTAAAACACGGTAATGTCAAATGCATTATGAATGTCAGACAAATTTATAAGATCTTATAACTGTTGGGGTCAGTTTCATTTAGATAACAGATGCTTGTATTCTTAACTGTTATTGCCAAGAGATGAATAAGAATATTTTGAGTCCTGAACCTGTTTTTCTTAAAATGGGTACGTGTGCGTGCCAATACAAAGTAGTATGATAACGTATTTTCATAATGTCAGATTATTTTATGTGAATGTGTGCTTTTTCTGTGAAATCTTAGCTATAAAAATCAGAATGATTGATGAAAAATAAGTTAAATCGGGACCAAGTTTAGCAGGTTCTTAGTTAAGTCAATGACGGTACAGTGCTTCACTTTCACTGTTTTCATTAATAAGCTTATTTAGCTTTTTGAGTAAATGGTGAGATTATAGACTAAAAAATGTATATATATATATAATATCTGAATATATATAAATATATAATATATAAATAAAATATATAAAAGGGTATAATGTTTTATGAGCTATATTTTAATTGCATGCTCTCATTCCTTAAAAAAACCCCATAAAATGCAAAAGAATAGTCTTATTAGTTTGGAAGGCTGGATGTTACATACTTCCAACTTTTTTTTTAGGTTTGTAGGTGGAGAGCTGAATATCTGTTACAATGCTGTAGATCGTCATGTTGAGAATGGACGAGGAGACCAAATTGCCATTATTTATGACAGTCCTGTAACAAATACCAAGGAGAAAATAACATATAAGGAACTTCTTGAACAGGTATGTTTGAGAATAACCTTGTTACTGAAAATGGGCAGTAAATATTGCACAGCAGGTAGATACGAGAGAGGTAGAAATGGTCTACCTTGCTAGTTTGTTCCTTTTGCTGTGCTCAGTATTGATTTATAAGCTTCACTACCTGTACCCAGTTATACTGCATCTAAGAGGTTTTGATCTTCCTCTAGTTCTTCTTTATCTTCTGCAGTTTAATAATTTTTTTCCTAGTTGGTTAAATTTTGAACTTTTCGCTATTGGATTCCCCCCTCCCCCCCCAACAGTTCTTATTTCATATTTCAAAGGTAAAGCAAAGTATTAGTCAAGCCACTTGATGATTGCTACAATGGACAAAAATTCAGTTCTGTAGGAATGAAGATGTGTACCTTGGCTATTGCTGCGCATAACTGAGTGTAAAACCAGATGAAATTTAACAGGGAGGAGCTCTAAAGCAAGCTGCGTCATCTGCCCCATTGCAGGCTGTAGTGGGGGTGCTGGTGGCCCTGCGCTAGCTTTCTGTCTGGAAGGTCTGTGGATTTCGACTTCCCCATCGGCTGAGGTAGCTTACCCCCAGCTGGGGTCCTGAATACCCGGTTCTGCATCAGCCCATTCAGATTTACTCAGTGCCTGACCGCGGGTTGTTGCCACCATGGGTGTTTGCAGTCTGCCCCATTCAAGGTCCTCCGCTCTCACAGCTGTCAGCTGGTGGTTTGCCCTCACGCCGCTCCTCTGTTTAGCTGGCTTTTTTCTTCCAGTCATATGTAGTGGTTGCACTTAACACTGAGTACAAAGAAACGTTGGAGTCAGACTCATGTTCTTCCTTAATGTATTTCAATGTGCAAGATGCATTACAGCAAATGGAACACACTCACTCTACCTCAGATATGCATGTAGTGTCTGGAGTAATCTGAACCTGTGGTTTGAAATGTGAAATAAGGTTCACAATACAGTAATTCAGTTTGTGAGGATTTTATTCCACTGTTGCAAGAAAAGAGAAGTCATACAGCTACAAAAAATGATAAACCCGTACTGCACTCAACTTTTAAAGGAAAATATAGAAAATATTTACTCCTCAGCAGTTTTCTCTTGGTTTACCAAGTCCAAAAAAGAAGTTGGAAGTTACCATACAGTATGCGGGAGCTAGAACAACTAGCTTCGATGTTTTAAGAAATCAGAAGACTTTAAAAGGGCCCAGCTCCTTATCTAATTTTATTTATTATTTTATATGTATATAATATATAGAATATATATAAAGTTATGCTTTTATATATACAATTTTGTGTCGTATGCCATATAAAAATATATACATAATAGATACGTGTATATATGAAATTAATTTATACATACATATACATATAAAAATACGTTCTTGTTTTATTTTAATGAAGTAATACAACATTTTAATGTAAATTATCTTAAAGGACTTTCTCTGTAGAAATTTCCTCTGAAAAGCACTTGAAAAGTAGCCTTTGTTTTGCTTTTTAAGCTTGATGTTGGTATGAAGTCTCCTAAGTTTGTGTCTCTATTCTCTATAAGTGTATTAGATGTTTTAGGATATGGCAGATTTGTGCAGAATGAGAAAATTTTGCTAGTTGATGTACACATCCTTTCCTCCACATTTCCTCTTACAGCAGCTTTACCAAACTGAACGGAAGAACTGGTTTAAGTTTTCTGGGACTATATAGCAGAATTCATTCAGACATTCATTATAATCTTGCTGGTAGTTGACTCCTATCTAAATACTGTTTTTGAATTCTCTACAGTTTGCTTTTCTTCTTAATCAAAAGGGAATGTAAGTGAAAGGCAGGATTTGAGATTAATATCTTGTCTGTGAAAGCTTTCTAGTCCACTCTTGTGGACTAAATTTAACTTGGCTTACCTGGTAACTACTGGACACCTGATAACAAAGGTATTCACAAAGAGATCTGCTGAAAGTGGGAGAGACGTGGTCTGCTATATTTTGTGTCATGGATCTTGTAGGTGCTAGGAGAGACTTAGAAAAGGCCTACCAAAACCCCTGTGGAGCGTGGGTGATGACGTTTGGCTCACAGCCCTCAGTTACTGCTTGCCACTGTGTTCTCAGTCTGCTCAGCAGCGTAAGCTAAAAGTACTGTATCTTGTCATTTTGAAATAGACTTTCAGTGCGTCAAATGTTTTGTTGTAGATCAGTATGAGTGCAGATCAGACACATGACCAAAGTTGATGAACCTCTTGGCGGGCAAAGAAGCCTTTTGCCTTCTTTCCTGAGTTCCTTTCCCAATTTAAAATAGCCTGACAGTGTGTATCTGTGTTCAAACTGTTGTTTGGACTGTCCATATCCAATGAATATCTAGTAGTCTGTCTGGCCAGTAAGCTTAGTGTAATGACAATGTCTTTTCAGAGAGGCTGCCTGTTCAAAATATCTCTACAAGAGATCAGCACTTGAAGTGGTGGAATTCATAATAACACTGGAGTTTATAGATGGATTCACCAGAAGTTATGTAGGATAACTGTGGGTCACAGGATGGGAAGAGGCAGAGTTTTGTAGCAGGTTGGACCATTTGTTCCAGGATCAAACTTGTGGTAAGGATGAAAAAAATGACATAGGTGCTTGGCTGGAGATAATAAGGCTCCTTAGGGAGGGTGGGATAGCTTGAGCTGTGTACTCAGGAAGCCTGCTGTTTTCAAATTATCCCTACCCTTTTTACTTGTTTTACTGCTGTTCAGACCTATGAGCTACAGTGATGCTGCAATTTTGAAGTTAAGCACCGCTAAACTATAAATAATTGAGAGAAATGTTGGAAGCTTGTGGATATTTGGTGCCCAACCTGTGGGAAACTTTTTTTTTTTTGCCAGAACTGGAACAGAAGAATTGCAGGACAATTTCAGCAATTCTTTATTGATATAAATAATGGCAAGATCAGTTTGTGTTGATATTCTGTACAACTATACTGTCTTCACACTTGGAAAGTCTTGAGAATTACAGTCAGTTAAAAGTGAAGTTGTACATAGTGCATTAAGTTGCATTTTAAGTGTGTTAATTATATGTTGTTACAGATGAAATCTTCCAAATGCAGAGTGGAGAAATTTAGCAAATTTAAGACATAACAGTCTTCCGGAATGTACTGATTGGACTTTTTTCTTTACTGATGCCTGTTACAGGCCTTTAAATGGGGATTACAATGTTGGACTGAAGCCAGTGAAATGGGATGTAGGTGAAAGTTTTGAGTATGCCTTGGGAGATTCTCTAATTCCAGTAGTGAGGTGCCAGGAAAAGATAAGGGAGACACAAATTCTGTTAGAAATATTACTGAGCCTGTGTAGTATTAGGGAAGTATAAAGACACCTGGAAGAAATAAGGAGCAATGGCTTCTGTTCATTTAAAAACAAATTTTCTGATTGTGTTGGAAAATACTACCATTTTCAAGTTAAGGCAAAGGTTGTTAGGTAAAAAACCCTTCTGTTTACATCATTGGGTGTATTCTCTAGAATACCTCACTTGCTAAAAAGAAATCTCAAGAATTTGAGAGTCATATTATTTGCAGTTGTTGACTCTTGACAGATCATGTGCACAAAAGCAGTATGATTTCTCTCTGTAATTCAGTAACAATTCACAGTTAACATGTTGAATTCAGTGTCGTAATAAACAATTTCTGAGTGCAGTAACGTGATGGGATTAGTAAAACCAGCACCCCCCCAAGTCTCTGACAGCATCGAATGTTACAAAAACATGGATGAGAAAGAAGGGCTTCAGGTTATCAACAGTGGACTAGGATGTAATTTCTTCTGTAGGAAGGTTTTTTCCATAATTACCCACCTTAAAAGCATATTCTTCCAAAATAGCTGTATTAGCCATTGTCAGTTTGGATTTATATGTGTATCTGTCTTGCTCTGCTCGTATCTCCTGTACGTGACTGAGGAATCACCCAGATTGTTCTGTTTCTAGTAGTCTTTCTCATTCTTCATGCTTTACTCCATCTTCTTTCTTTGCCTTCTGCCTTGAAAAATGACCAATTCCTTCTTAGCTAGAAATAGTGACTTTCATTTGTAGATATTTTTTCTCAGAGCTGATTTAGAATCAAAACTAGAATAGGGACAGAAAATCCTACTGAGACTGACAACCCAACTTTTTATCCTCTTTGTCTGGTAAAGCAACATTATCTTCATAAAACTATGTATTAGACTTCTTTAATGCTGGTTTTCCTTATCTTATTTAAATCTCAAATGGCATTCTTTAGTGCATGTCCTAGAAAGATTTAACTGTGATGTCACTGGGGTAGCTCTTAAAAAATATCAATATTAGTATTCTTTAAAAGATGAGACTAATCAGGAATTTACAAAGAGTGGTGTCTTGGGTTTTTCACATTCCACACAAAAGACTTCCAAGTGCACTGTAAAAGTCTGAAGAAGCAGCTGGAACTTGATCTCTCCTGACTGAAGGTAGTTGTACTGCAGCATGTCAATGTCAGCAATGCCGACAGTAATGTATAATTTGGTGCAGCTTGGGCAGATGAGTGAAGCAAAACCATGCTAAATTAACTGCTGAGGCTCCTGACATTTCCACTATATGTGGTTTGTGAGTTTTACTTTGGACTAGGTTTAGTTTCATGCTTTGAACCGAATGTCCCATCGCTCACTTCAAAGCTGTCTGAACATAGCTACACCACAAATCTTTGCTTCCTTGACTTGTGGATTCCTTTAGGAAGTGCCATGCTCACCCCTCATCTCTCTCACTGCTGCTTGATTTCTCTCCCCACCCCAAGTGGATATTGCCCTTTTAGGGGAACACAGATGCTGTAGGAGTTGTGCAGAACACTTTGGGCCATCCTTCACAAGTACCAGAAATCCCTTCTGAGGCAAATGGTTGTCTGGAACCCATCTCTTCTGCAGAGTGAATGCCATGGCATCACTTCTGATCAAACATTAAATCCATACCAAGCTGATAAGTAGTATAGAATCCCCATCTCATCCCAGTCCCTCCTTGGAGACACACAGTCCACAGCCGACCTCCCAAACCAGGAAGGAAA